TTTTTTTGCCGGTGTTAGGGCCTGAACTCTGGGCCTGGGCACTGTCCCTCAGCTCTTTAACTCAAGGCTAGCGCTCTACCACTTGAGTCACAGCCCACTTCAGGTTTTTTTCTGGAATTGAGCCCAGGGCCTCATGCACACAAGGCAAGCATTCTACCACTGAGCCACCTTCCCAGTCCCTGGCTTTTCTGTTTATGTGCTACTGAGGAATCTAACCCAGGGCTTCATGTGTGTTAGGTAAGCATTCTATACTAGGCCACATTCCCAGCCCAGTTAACTAGATTCTTCAGTAGCTCTTACAATCATGAGCCAACAGTGGATGCCCTTTTTTGTGCTGGTACTGGGCTTGAAACTCAGGGCCTATACTTTGGCTCCAAATTCTTGTGCACGTATGTGTGTATGGTCACTAAAGCAACCTTGAGGATGGTCTTACGCGATTGTGTCTAATCCCACCATAACTAACTTCATCCCACTTTCTGAATGTTCTAGATGCCAGACCAGTTTGACCAGGCTGTTGTGCTAAACCAGCTGAGGTACTCGGGGATGCTGGAGACGGTGAGGATCCGCAAAGCCGGCTATGCAGTGCGAAGGCCCTTTCAGGATTTCTACAAAAGGCAAGCAGAGCTGGACAGCTAGCTCCGATCTCCTTTCAGAGAGGTGGAAGCAGGCGGAGCCCGTGCAGAACGCGGTGCCATATGCCTCTGTGTTGCAGGTATAAAGTGCTCACGAGGAACGTAGCCCTGCCCGAGGATGTCCGGGGAAAATGCACTGTGCTTCTGCAGCTCTACGACTCCTCCAGCAGCGAGTGGCAGCTGGGGAAGACCAAGGTACCTTTGTGGGTCCCAGTCCCTTTAAGCCCAGAAGGCTTCCCCAGGCCTGGTGTGCCAACACACCAAGAACCGTTTTTGTCTTTCGGGACTGGGGCTTGAACTCAGGGCCTTGTGCTCTTGGTTGGCTTTTTCAAGGCTAATGCTTTACCATTTGATCCACAAACTCCACTTCTGGCTTTTTTGGTGGTTAATTGGAGATAAAGAGTCTCGCAGATTATGTTGCCCAAGGTGGCTTCAAACCCTGATCCTCAGATCTCAACCCCCCTGAGTTACTAGGATTCTGGGCATCAGCCCCCAGCATAGAATCAAGGTTTTCACCTGCGCCCTCACTCACTGTGGTCTTTTCTCTTCCCAATACTGCAAAGGACACTATTTCAATAAGGGACACACTGAACCAGCTCATCAGAATTGTGCCTACCTGGTACCCAGGGTTGTAGATGTGCCAGGCAGCTAGCTACACCACCTCACAACTGAGACCACCATAGGAAGCCAGCAGTCTGAAATCCTGTAGGTGGCCAAAAACTCAGTCCAGAAAGGTAAGGGAGGGGGCAGCCTTTGTTTTTAAATGTGCTGCTGTGTCGCAGGCCCTCACCCCTCACTCCACACAACAGTCTAGCCCCAACTTCCTTCATCAGACAGACAGTTCCAAGCTGACCTCTTCTTCCTGTGTCAGCAAACTGCCACAAATCTCAGTTGGCTTTGTAGTCTTCTTCCACCCCTTCCAGTGCTTATTCCAGGGGAAGACACCAGTGTGATTCTCAACTCAGACCAAGCATCTGGGTCTGGTGTTTAGGAATACCGCAGTCTTCTAAGGATCTGGTCCTTGGGCCTGACTCTCCTGCCCCTCTCCATGGCTCTGGAACGTCAGAGGAGCATTTCCAGGTTTCCAGCCAGCACCACGTGGTTTGGGTTTGTTTGGAGATGATATCTCTTAGGTTGCTGGGGCTGGTCTCAAGCTCTTGATAAAATTGATCCTCCCACCTCAGACTCCTGAGTAACTGGGATTATAACAGGTTTCTTTGTTAAAGAGGGAAAGAAAGGAAAGAGAGTGTTTAATTAACCAATATGAAATCTGTGGCAAAACTTCAGCAGGAGTTCATGTCCACTCAGCAAAGAAGTCAGATGCACGGACACTGGGCTGGGTTGGCTGGGGAGGGCTTCAGATTCAGGCAGTCCAAGGCGTTTAGAGCTGAGGTAGCAGCCAGCTGTGGCTTGGAAAGCAGCAGACATTGTCAGAGGTGGAGCCTGCCGTCTGACTCTGTCTCAGGATGCTCATCTCGGCTCACATGAGTGTTGACAGCATTCCATTCCCAGCTTTAGTAGGACTAAGGTCCCCACTTTCTCTCTGGTTCTCCATCAGAGTCAGTTAAAGGTTCCTGAATTTGCTTGCTAGGCTGCCTGACACAGCTCACTTAGAGACCATGAACTGATCTGTCCAGGCTCAAAATGAGGTCAGCTTTAGAAATTAAGATAGTCATTTATGCTAGGCACCAGTGACTCATGCCTATAATCCTAGCTACTCAGGAAGCTGAGATCTGAGGATCACAGTTCAAAGCCCAGCAGGAAAGTCTGAGATTCTTATCTCCAATTAACCACTAGAAAACTGGTAGCAGCTGTAAGGCTCAAAGTGGTAGAGTACTAGCCTTGAGCAGAAAAAGCACAAGGACAGGACCCAGCCCCTAAATTCAAGCTTTAGGACAAAAACAAAAAACATTTAACAATCATGCCTATACATACGGTAGATTCAAGGGAGAACTCAGTGTAATTCCTTAGAAAAGCAAAGGCAAAGTTCAACAAAACAAACACTAGAAAGCAAGTTTTCAAAGGTAGGGTGGGTTAAGGGGAAACACTAGACAAGTGGAGAAGGGGAGAATGCAGTTAAGAATTCAGCGTAGGGGCTGGGAAGGTGGCTCAGTGGTAGAGCGCTTGCCTTGCATGCATGAAGCCCTGGGTTCTATTCCTCAGTATCACTTAAGCAGAAAAGGCCAGAAGTGGCCCTGTGGCTCAAGTGGTAGAGCGCTAGCCTTGAGCTGAAGAGCTGAGGGACAGTGCCCAGGCCCAGAATTCAGGTCCCATGACCAACAAAAAAAAAAGAAAAGAAAAGAAATCAATGTGGCCAGGCACCGGTGGCTCACTCCTATAATCCTAGCTACTCAAGAGGCTGAGATCTGAGGATCGCAGTTCCAGTTCAAAACCAGCCCGGGCAGGAAAGTCAGTGAGACTCTTTTTTTTTTTTTTTATAATTTTTTTATTGTGAAAATACTGTACAGAGAGGTTACAGTTACATGAGCAAGGTAATGAGTACAGTTCTTATCAAGCATTCTTGCCTCCTTTGTTTTTCCCCTTCTCTCCCCATGAGACACTTATCTCCAATAAGCCACTAGAAAACCAGAAGTAGCTCTGTGGCTCAAGTGGTAGAGTGCTAGCCTTGAGCTGAAGAGCTGAAAGACAGCGCCCAGGCCCAGAGTTCAAGCCCCAAGACTAACAAAAAAAAAAAAAAAGAATTCAACATATATCTTACAAAATTAAAAAGTGATGGAAGGGGTGAGTTGAAGAGGGATGAGCTAGAATGTTGAAAGGGGTGACACTGAATAAGATGCATTGTATTCATAAAACTGCTTTGCTAAATGGTAGTACCTTTGTACAACTACTTAAAGACAATAAAATATTTTTTTAAAACCAATCATGCCTACAGAATGTACTAGTAATAACCAAAACATAAGGCTTAGGTTTTATATGTTCTTTTTATTTTCTTTTCCTGTGATACTCCTCTCCCCCTTTTCCCCAATCCAGTCCTGGGGCTTGAACTCAGGGCCTGGGCACTGTTCAAGGCTAGGGCTTTACCACTTGAGCCACAGCATCACTTCCAGCTTTTTCTGAGTAGTTTCTTGGAAACGAGAGTCTCACGGACTTTCCTGCTCTGGCTGGCTTTGAATTGTAATCCTCAGATCAGATCTCAGCCTCCTGAGTAGCTAGGATTACAGGCGTGAGCCACTAGCACCTGGCTCATTGGGATATTAAGCAGGATCTCCTGTCTCTGTTCTATGTGTGGCTCTCCTTAGACACCAAGAAAGAGGGAAGCAGGAACTACCCCCAAGTCCAGCTTGAGTGAGACCTTCACTCTACCAGCTACTGTGGGCTGAGACCCACGACTCTCTCCACAGGTCTTCCTTCGGGAATCCTTGGAGCAGAAGCTGGAGAAGCGGCGGGAGGAGGAAGTCTACCGGGCAGCCATGGTGATCCAGGCCCACATCTTGGGCTACTTGGCACGGTAAGAGCCACACCTTGGTAAAGCCACACAGGGGCTTTGTGTGTCCCCAGTGGGGTGGCTTGTGAGCTTGGAGGAGCCAAGCATGACCTGGGTAGCAATAGACAGAAGCAGTTCATGTGGGGGCTCCACTGTGATACTCAAATTGTCTACCGTCTATTCTTCTGCATCCTGTGCTCAAGGTTACTGCTTTTGTGGTCACAGCCGCATATCCCTTATCCAAATGCCGAAGAGATATTAGGCCAACCTACATGCATGAAGCCTTGAGTTCAAATGCCAGTACTGTCTACCAAAAGAACTGACCAAGGATTTCCGGATGAACAATGCTCAACTCATGTCATCTTATCAGTACTTTCTACTTATTTGGGAAATGAGACCACTTCTCACCTGGCATTTCAGTTGTGCCCACTACATGTCTAGCATGGCACCAAGAGCTAAGGCATTCCATTTTCTGTGGTACAGAGCCTCCCTGTGGTGGCTGCTGTTGGCTGGTTGGTTGTTTTCATATGAACAGGAGGCCAGAGTGAATCTCCCTTGGTCCAGGCCATTCAAGGTTGGCATTAGGCTTTACATGTCTCCTTTGCCAGGGTAGCCATAGTATTCTTCTTTTGGTGTGTGTGCGTGCGTGTGTGTGTTCTTTGTTTTACTTGTGTGTGTGTGTGTGTGTTCTTTGTTTTACTTGTGTGTGTGTGTGTGTTCTTTGTTTTACTTTTTAGCCAAAGGGCCTCTTTGTCCTCTCCAGTCCTCCCAGTGAGAGAATCCTTCCAAAACTAGGTCCCTTTTGTCTTGTGGCCAGAATGTAAGCTCATTTGAATAGCTCACAATCTCATTACCTCAATGGCTATTCTCCTGTTTTCCTTTTAGAAAGCAGTACAGAAGGGTCCTTTATTGTGTGGTGATGATACAGAAGAATTATAGAGCCTTCCTTATGAGGAAGAGATTTTTACACCTGAAAAAAGCGGCCATCGTGTTCCAGAAGCAACTCCGAGGCCAGCTGGCACGTAGAGTTTACAGACAACTGCTGGCAGAGAAAATGGAGCAAGAGGAAAGGAAGAGGCAGGAGGAAGAAGAGAAGAGAAAGCGGGAGCAAGAAGAGAGGTATAGTGCCTTTCTCCATTAGATGAAACTAAAGGATGTATTTTGACTTTTATGCTTATTATCAGAACCTGTTTACTTGAAACAAAACAGTAAATCTTGGTAGCACTGAGACCCAATTCTGTGCATTTTGTTTCTTGTGTAGATTGAGGCTCTGTCCTCCCCAGCCTTTCCACTGGCCTTCAGCAAAGCTCATTGAAGGGTCTTAGCCAGGTGCTATAGCTCATACCTACCATCCCAACTAATCTGGAGGTAGGGATGGCTGGGGAGACAGGTTTGAAACCATCCAGGGGCAGAAAGTTAGCCAGATCTCACTCATCTCAATAAAAGCAGCTGGATGTGTAGTTATTATCAGTCAGCCAGATCTCACTCATCTCAATAAAAGTAGCTGGATGTGTAGTTATTACCAGTCGTCCCTGCTACAAAGGAAGCATAAGTGGGAAGATCAAGGTCACAACTAGTCTCACCAAAAAGAAAAAAATACAAGACTAAGATCTGAGGATTGAGTTTTACAAAGCCAGCCCAGGCAGGAAAAGCCATGAGATTCTTATGTCCAATAAAACTACCAAAAGACTGGAAGTGGCACTGTGGCTCTGGTGGTAGAGTACCAGCCTTAGCTCAGGGTTAGCCAGGCCCTGAGTTCAAAACTCCAGTACAAGTTAAAAAAATAAATAATAAGCTGGGAAGTTGGCTCAGTGGTAGAGCGCTTGCCTCGCATGCATAAGGCCCTGGGTTCAATTCCTCAGCACCACATAAGCAGAAAAAAAAAGCCGGAATGGTGCTGTGGCTCAAGTGTTAGAGCGCTAGCCTTGAGCTGAAGAGCTGGGGGACAGTGCCCAACTCAGAGTTCAGACCCCACAACTGGACCCCCCAAAAAAATAAATAATAATAGTAATTGGAGCAGGGTGTCAGTAGCTTGTGCTTGTAATCTGAAACCTGAGGTACTTTGTTCGAAGCCAGCCTGGGCAGGAAGAATCATTAGACTTTTCTTTCCAATGAGCCAGAAAAAAGCCAAAAGTGGCTCAAGTGGTAGAGCACCAGACTTGAGTGAAAAAGCTGAGATAGAGCCCAGGCCTGAGTTCAAGGCCCAGTACCAGCATGAAAATAAAGTTATATCTTGGGTTGAGCCTCAGAACAATTGTAGAGCACTTGCTCCTCTGCACAAGGCACTAGGTTTCTGCAGGCTAGACCTGGCTGAAATGACTTAGAGGTTATTGCTGATTTCACTTTTCTTTTTTCTTTAGAGAAAGAGCACGGAGAGAAGCAGAGCTCCGAGTGCAGCAGGTGGTAAATACTGGGGCAACCTGCCCGCCCCCCACCTTACCTCCCTTTCACTTTAGGATACAAACTCGAGTGTACACGCGTATGCACTCTCTCTCTCTCTCTCTCTCTCTCTCTCTCTCTCTCTCTCTGTGTGTGTGTGTGTGTGTGTGTGTGTGATTGTGATTGTGTAGGACTAGTTTCCTCTCCACCTCTACCTTTGGACAAAGCTTAATGAATGTCTTCAGATTTAAATGCAAATGACAGGCATGTCCCTTGGGGCCTGACCCAGGTGGATTATAAAACAATGGAAATTGAGTTTCTCACCGTCTGGGAGGCTGGGGCGTCCCAGCTCAAAGTGGCTGTGGGTTTGGGTCTCCTGATGCCTCTCTCCTTGGCTTCCAGACGCCTCCCCCCCCCATCCTCACGCCCCCTCGGTGTGCCCAGACCCTGTGTCTCGGGCTGAGGGCTCCTGGGCCCAACTTAATCACCTCTTTAAAAGCCCTCTCTGCATACACATTTGCATTGTGAGGACTGGGGGATTAGTGCTTTAGCATAAGAATGAGCTGGAGACACAATTCTGCCCGGTCCCCCCCCATTTCCATCACGATTGCCTGAGGGGAGGGAGGGGGGCACCGGAGGGTTTCATTGTAACACACTCCTCCTCCTCCTCCTCCTCTTCCTCGCGTCCAGGAGGCGGAAGCCCGGAAGCAGCTGGAGGAGCGCGAGGCCCTGCGGAAGCGCCAGGCGGAGCTGGAGCGGCAGCAGGAGAACCGGCAGGTGGAGGAGATCCTGCGGCTGGAGAAGGAGATCGAGGACCTGCAGCGCATGAAGGAGCGGCAGGAGCTGTCGCTGACGCAGGCCTCGCTGCAGAAGCTGCAGCGGCTGCGGGACGAGGAGCTGCGGCGGCTGGAGGACGAGGCGTGCCGCGCGGCGCAGGAGTTCCTGGAGTCCCTGAACTTCCACGAGATCGACGAGTGCGTGCGGCACATCGAGCGCTCGCTGTCGGAGGGCGGCGAGGGCGGCGGCCCCGCGGAGAAGCCCCGCTTCAACTTCAGCCAGCCGTACCCCGAGGAGGAGGAGGACGACCAGGAGGACGGGGTGGACGAGGTGGACGAGGGCTTCGAGGCGGACGACGACGCCTTCAAGGACTCGCCCAACCCCAGCGAGCACGGCCACTCGGACCAGCGCACCAGCGGCATCCGCACGAGCGATGACTCCTCGGAGGAGGACCCCTA